CTGATTACATATAAAAATAAATGAATGTCATTTCTTTTTGAACATCTAAGCTATAGAGTGCTTAAATCTTTTAACTCTAGGGCATGGGCATCCACTGAGAGAGCTCATATTTCATTATAACAATTTCTTTTCTCCCAGCATATCTGAGAAGTATGCTTGTCTTCATTATGGCCATTAACCTTAGAGGATGAGTACCGTTCTCCACATGGGGTCACGTCATTGTCATGATCTCACAGGGAGGAGGCTGGGGTAAAGCAGAGGCACTGCGGTGACATTAGCCCTTGTCACTCTTTCTAATGTAACCTCAGCCCCTTTCTTTCTGTCATTAAAATGAGGTTCAATCGTGAAACTCATTGCTTAAATTGGCACACTTTTCTCAAAGTGAGAAGATGGGGAGTCAAATACAGTGAAACAGGAGGAAAAGCAATTTGTAAGTCGCAGCAGCAGCTCTTGACAAACTTCATGGTAAGAGAGAATAAAAGACTGTAATGTGTGCTTTTAGCAAAAGCGGATGGGCTGTAGTCTTGCAGCTTCTCACCTGACTAAAAGAATATGAGTGAGACCATTGTTAATTTCATTATTTAATCGCTATTTTCTTAATCATCAAGTACACATTAGAGTCGTTTTTGAAACAATGACTTGGTTTGGTTCAGCCTTCAATTGAAACAGACTCATCAGCTCCCAGTTTGAGCTAAGAAAAGAGGCTTTTTGTTCTGTTTGTTTTGTTCTATTTCTGTCAAAAAAATGAAATTATGCCCAACTGAGGACTGGATGATAGGAGTGACAAAAGACTACTTCAGTTTAACGTCCTCATTGATTCCTTCAAGTGTCATTAGGGAGACAGAGGGCTAGATCTTGGGAGGAAGGGATGTGGGAAAGCTCAGTTTTTCCTATTAGAATGAACAGCTCCTCATGTGCCTCAGAGTCATGTTTTCTAACACAACTATCATTATTGAGTCAAGATCTTCAGGGTCCAAGTCATAGTCTATGATTATGGGGGATAATGCCCCTGATGTTATCAGGTCCTATATGATTAGGTGTTTTCTTGGGGTTCAGGGAATTATTATGTTTAAACATTTCCTTCCAGAAGGAATGTTCTTTGGTGTCCAGAGAGTCCCTGACAATGAGAAGTTAGGGGCGACACAATGACAAGTACCCTGTCATCTGCACTTGAAAGGGGGACACTAGCAAAGGTGGAGGGACCCCTGTCAGCAGGGAGAGAGCTGAGTTACGGTAGCTCATTGCTCACTAATCCTGCTCTTGAGAGATTTTTGAATTGTTGCTTTTCTTATGCTATATTATCTAAAGTCCTATTTATCTCATTTTAAGTTAGCACTCCTACAGTTTTTACTTCCCTCCAAGGAAATACTATATTAAAAAATTATTCATTAACTAATGTGTACCATAATAAATGTGATTCATTTTTAATAAAAATTCCTGCATTTTTACCTTTTTGACCTGAAGCATGCTGTTTGCATAGGCATTTGACTTATTTTCCTCTGGCTTGCCTGAAAGTTGACTTTAAAAAAGGAAGTTCACTTCATGTGCATTAAAACTTATTGCATCTCACTAGGTGTAAATTTGTTCTGTATGTTTTTAGTTAAAACAGTGACTTGACCAATATTTAGGAAAAAGAGGACTGAGTATCCAATGGGGAGAATTAATTAAGATTAGTGTTTAAGGATAATTCACACCTAGCAGCCTCTTAGAAATAAATAATCCAATGTGGGAAAGGGAGGCTGTAGGTATGCCATGTGCTCACTGGTAATGCCAACCCTCAAATCAGTTATAAAAATAATGAAATGAAGCAACATGTCATTGGGCATCAAATGCCATTGGACAATTCTTCATGATCTCTGATTTTCAAGCAAATAGAGGTTTGCTAAATGAAAATGAAAAGAAGATGTTACCAGGGGATAAATAATGATATATTCTCACTAGATTTGAAACATTGTTTCTGTGACCAGATTGATAAAGGTTATAAAACGGCACTACAGCTTGATTTTTTTTACCAAGGTTTGGGGTGGGTCCCCGATCCTCTATTCCAACCTGTAGGTCAGAGATGAAACTGGTTTTAATTCACATAAGGCAGAGCCAGAAAAGTGTTCACAGTGTTACTTAGAGTCCTAGACTGCTTAAGATTAACAATTTCCTATCTATCCCTAGTTTTTTTTTTCCTTTTGTAAAATTATAAATCTTAGAAGAATTGGGAAAGGTGAATAGGTATTTTTCTTTTTGATCCAGCATCTTAAGCATGGAGCTTCTAACTTCAGCAATAATTCCTCAAGATAAGCACTGAGACAAAATTATATTTTAACTTAGTAAAGAAGGTGGCATAGTTTTATTTTAACTGACTTCTAACTACTGGGCCACATGTAGTCTGGGTTGTTTACAAATGAACAAACTCAGGATCAAAATAAGGAATTCAGCTTCTGTGCTCAAGTGAGAAGGAAGTAGGCTGCAGTCCTGCATCACTTGATGGGGACACATTCTGAAGAAGGCATCCTTAGGTGATGTCATCATGGTGTCAACATCATAGAGTATGCCACACAAACTAAAACAGCTATCTGATAAGATCTTAGGAGACCAGCATCATATAGGCAGTCTGTTGTTCACCAAAACATCACTGACACCATCAATGCAGCATATGATTGTAATCAACATTGGAAACCCAGAGGAGTATTTTCTGAACAGCCATGAGCTAGCAGATTAGGCAAGTTTAAGAACCCTTATTATTACTGTCTTTGATAATGAAATATTTGGCAAATGTCATGGAAAATCTACTACCACTCAAGAGGTTGTACACATAAAATGAAATCTTTCATTATTTATAGTAATTTCCCAAATGTCAATGAGATCAAGTAGAAAGAGACGGCTGTTAACAGTTTAATACTAACTCTCTATCCAACTCACTATGATTCCTTCAGTTAGCTATCTAACCTTCCTGTGTCTCAGCTTTTCTCGTCTGCCAAATAGATATAATGATATTTTAAAAGTATATCAGTATATATTATAAAAGTATATATACATATACTTAAAATGTGTACCTTAATTCATTTTATGAAAATGAATTTAAAAGGTTATATATATATGCTTTTAAAATATCATTATATATAATTTACATTGAATGGATTGCACACATATATGTATGTATTACATACCTATTTATATATGTACAAATACATATTTATGTACTCATGTTCATACATATTTATATTCATATTTATATATGTTTATACATATTTATATATGTACATATTTATATGCATAAATGATTAATAGATGAGAGTTCTCTGGCAAGTTAAAAGTATTATTCAATTTTCAGTTATTATTAATAATGTAAGACTTGTGGAAATATAGGGAACAGCCTCTGCTTGCCCAGCTGGCTGTGGGAAGTAGTGTACAAATGTGAGGTCACAAATCATTTTTTGAACACTCATAGTCAATGTCTGCTATCATCTGCAAAGCCTGAATGGGCCCTGGTACCATCCCCTGAGAAGGCAGAATTTCCTCAATAACTCATCCAGGTTTGGATGTACCAGTTTATTCACAGTTTCTTTACTCTGCTGTTAAATACTTAAAAGACAAATGTTAGGAAGACTAGCATTTGGACCTAGTCTGCCCTGGTTACTGTAATAACCTGTCCCCCAGAGGGGATTTACATGGGCCTTCTAGAGAGCCCTTAGTTTGTCATATTGGAAGTCCTTAGTAAGAGGGAGAAGTTGGACCATCCTGCTTTTCTCCACAACTGTCTTATACTGGTGTCCTATTGAGTCACAAAAACATACATTTCAGGTTGGGACTAGGAAAGAAAACCAACTCAGGTCCAGGGCAAGAATGCACAGTGCTCAGCTTGCTGAGTTCTGGCATTTGAATACTTATGGAGGGGCCCAAGGACAAAGGCATTCCAGCAGTCTTAATACACTTGGTGAATGCCTGGCGCAGAGTAAATACTTCCTCTTTTTATAATGAATCCATGAATGTGAACTCTCTAGTGAATACCCACTTTATTCATAATGGGGGGACACATAGAGGAATATGACAGTTTTATATTGAATGTTGTCATTTACTCCAGAAGATGAAACATGAGTAAAGGAAATACTTGACTATTTAAATAAATTTTTTAGGTGATCAAATAAATGATTTAATGTATAGGCAAAAGAATCCAGACAATTTAAGAGGTATCTTAGGAAGTGGGACTTGAGGGGGATTTGGAAAGAATGTTTGGGATATGGGAAGATGAAAGGAAGTTGCCATTCCAGTACTAGTAATGGCATAAGCAAATGTCTAGAAATGCAAACAGGTATTACTTTGGAGCCCTGGGAGGTTAGTATTTAAAACAAAACAGGGTGTGACACATTGTGATGTAACCTGTGGAAATATTCATAAATGTGTACAAAATTGTATATGAAAAGATGTTGATTGTCTGAATTAGCAAAAATTGTGAAGCAATTTAAATTCCATCAGTAGGAAATGGCTAAATAACCTATGGTACATTAACACCATCAAATACGCTAGGAAATAGTTGAGAAGAATGAAGCAAGTCTTTGTGTGCTGACATACAAAGGCCACCAAGGAAAGACCTAACAGTGTATTAATGGAGAGAATGCATTTATGTAATACCTGTTAACTTTGAAAATTGATTTTAAAAAAATCAAAGTGGTGCTTCAGGAAGATTAATGTGATGGCATTGTACTGAATTAAAAGGGAGTGATTAGAAGTGAAGAGAAATGTTAGGAGACGTGTGCAGGAGCGTAGATGTCCACCACCAAGGGTGGAGACCTAGCTAGTAAAGAGAAAAAGAACCCAGAGATATATATTCTGATGAATGATTATGAAGGACTTCATGACAGATTTTAAATTAGAGGATAAAGAAGAGAGAACAATTATTCTCTGGCCTAATTGTAGGAAATACACCCTGAAAAGTGATTGCTAATAACTGGGACAGACTGGTGCTAATAGGAAACCTTTAAGAAATGTTTCATGTTTTTGTTTCACAGGATGGAAGAAACAGTACGAAATCTATTGCAGAGTCAAGGACCTACAGAGCAGAAGAGAGAAGAATCTGTTAACATAATGACCTATCAGGTACACCATGTTTCTGACTCTTGGCTGTGTATCGGTCGGCTTATTTTTCTTGCTGATAGCCACGTAGTCACCTCTGGTTTGAGGAATTAAATGCATGTTTAGTTGTCATTTTTTCTTCCCTTAAACTCCTACTTTGAAACAGATCACAAGATTTGATTGTAGTAAGATGCAAAAATATAGTGAAACAGGGAGACTTTTAAAGGCAGTGCATTGCCCTGTGGTCAGGGTTATGAGAGAGGTATCTGCAATGTTCTCTGGGACCACAGGAGAAGCAGTGATTCATCCTGTCTGAGGAGCTGAGGAGTGCTCACCAGAGGTGTGACATTTGAGGTGAGTTTGAAGAGGAGAGAACGAGGGGAAGGGCATTCCTGATCATGGGGAACCTAGACTAAGGTGCAGTAGCCTCTTGACAGCAAGACCGTGAGGTTAAGTTCAGGGTAACTGAATAATGGCTTGGTGAGATATAGAATTTGATGATGAGACCAAGGGTATAAAGACCATGGTGAGTTCTGGATCTATATGGTGTGACCAGGAATCTGGCCCTTCACCTGGCAGTGTGGAGTCTAAAGAGGTCCAGAGAGTAAGGGTTCATTTAAGTAACAAGTCAATATCTTCTCTTGATGGTCGTTATCCCATAGTCCTTTGACACTAGCAAGGTGGCCAGGTTGGTGAACAGGACATATAATTTGAATATGGCACCCATTGGATGATGAGGCTTGTGCAGGATGGAAAAGGGAAGTACAACAGAAATAGCACAGGGGCTCTATATGGATAGCTGCAGGATTTTTATTGGAGATCACTTAAAATCACAAATAGAGGCCTGACATTCACTATACAACTATATATGGCAAGTTAAAAAAGCTAATGAAGGCAAGGAATTGGGCAGACATTTGAGATGACCACTGGAAAGCCCTAGTTTTACTAGTAAAAATCAAGTGAGTTTGGGGAGACAAGCACAGAAAGCCATCTTTTGAGGATAATTTTGCATGAATTATCTGAATTCATGAGTTCAGAGTTCTGCAACCCAGTGTATTATGAAGAGGAGAGGGAATGGGATCTGATAATAAAAATCAAGGTACCATGCAGGGTTGTGAGATTGTGGCATACTTAGATTTAAGGAGGCTGTGCTTAAATAGTTGACTCTTGAAACATACGTGGGATGATTCTACAAAAATAAGGACAACTCTTCCCCATCTCCAGTGAACACACTGCAAGGAGTTGACTTGAGATATCTCAGAGGAAATTAAAATTAGCTCCATAAAGACAACAGAAAGTTTACTAGATCCTATTCCTAGCAGGAAAATCTTTTGAGGTGGATAAGAAGGGGTTATCAACAGAAAGCTCCTATTATTGTTCAAGGAATGTGTTCCTGAATTTTGTGGTCTTCACAAAATTATTCAGCTTTTCCTTTAAGATGGCCACCTAAATTTAGGACATTTAAGTCCTACTAATCTGAATTATTCCTAGGTATGTGTATTTGCTTGGATAGAATGGTGAGATACAGGAAAAAAAGTGGGACTTGACTGAACATTGACTAGTTCTGTTCAACCTAAAGGAATCATGAATCTGAAACAGGTCATTTTCTCCCCTCACAGGTAACACCAGGCTCCATTAAAACTAAACAATACCACATTTCACTTAGGCTTTATTTTTAATTTTCTCACTATGCATTTCTTATCCAGATTCTTATTTCCTTTAGGTTATTGCCTCCCTAATCTCTCTTCCCATTATTAACCAAGTGTGTATTGGAGACTCTTATCATTATCAGAATTCACTTTGTGAAACTGGAAACTAGTTTGAAAATAGATACACTAATAAAACTGTGTTTTGAAAATATTCCCTCTCCAAAATTCAGTCTGTTGGTTTGGGGAAATGAGCTCTTCCCTCTAGAGAGAAGACAAGTTATTGAATGCTACACAAAGGGAATGTCGCAGTCATTGTTCTAATTGGTTATCGGTTCCTTGTCTGTAAAGTGGGAGAGGGACATGGGTTACATGACCTGTAGAGGTCATTTGTACATTCAACAAATATTTTTTGAATTTGTAAGACATGTGAGGCACAACCTTGTGCTCTTGGAATTTAGGAAATGAGCACAAAGAGAAGGGAAAAGGTGGCTGGGCAGCACTGAGTCCCAGGGAGGTCCCCTTCATCTCTTAAATTCATTAAACTATTATCATAATAGCAGAGTAGTAGTTATCTGTGTGTGGGCCCATGATTTGTATGCATGAAAGGAGGCTGTGTTTTGTTCAAGGAGTATGTTCCTGAAGATCTCATGTGTTCTTTGATAATTTATGTCTTGTGTCATTCAACATGAATTCTCTTAAAGATGGTGGGTGTTTCTGTTCAGCAATCAAAGCATTCCCATCATGTTGCAATCAGGGATTTATAGTTTACCAACCTTGCCATTGTGCAGTTCTTGACTTTTATTTTAATTTGGAGAATTTGCATGATTTCAAGTTTTATGCATGAAGTGGTAGTAAATATTTTGTGGCCTTGATTTCCAGATTGCCTCATTCGGAGCCTGATCAAAAGTTACTCCACTTTTGTTCAATCAGTCCCCACAATTTTCGGTGGGAGAGCCTGACCCTATTCTCATTTTACAGGTACGGACATGTGGCTCAAGAAGCAGTGGGCACTTGCCTGAGGGTGCATAGCTAGGAAGTAGCATAGAAAAAATGTGAACCCTGCTCAATCTGACTCCACAGCTCCTACACTCAGAAATTCTAGAGAAATTAAATGATAGGACCCAAATTACCCCATGGTGATTATTCAAAATGGGACCTGAACTGGGCCTGCCTGCTTTCTACTTATAACCCCTTCATCCCTCCATCACCCATTCATTCACTTGGTCTCTCATTCAAATGATAGTTATTCATTTATCTTCTTATGGAATTACGTTTGTTTCTTCTAGCTGCTATAACAAACTTACTGACTTAACACGGATTTGTTCCCTTTTAATTCTGGAAATCAAAAATCTTCAAGCAAGGTGTTGTTGGCAGGGCTACATTCTTTCTGGGGGCTTTCAGAGGAGAATCATTTTGTGCCCTTCACAAAATCTACCATTCCTTGGATTCTATCTTCAAAGCAAATCACTTGTCTCTGCTTTGTCATCACATTTTATTTTCCCAACTTTGCTTCCCTTGTCTAAGGATCCTATAACTACAGTGAGCTCAATTGGGTAATCCAAGTTCCTTATCTCAAGATTCTTGAATCCCATCTGCTCAGGAGTTTGAGGCAGAAGAATCTAAAACTCTAGATTCTGAAAAGAAGGGTTGGATATGCAGCTCAGTGGTAGATATCTGCTCAGCATGTTTGAGACCTTGGGTTCAGTCCCTAGTACTGAGATCCAAACAAATATGCAGAGCCTTTGGCCATGTAAGGTCCCATTTTATCAGGTTTTAGGAATTGAGATGAACATCTTTGGGGAGGAGGGCATTTTTCCTTTGCCACACTTGGTCATGCTCACTAGCCTAACAATGCCCAGCAGACATGAAGCTAAATTCTGGAGATTCAAAGATGCCTGATTTAGGCTCAATTTATATGTTACTGCAGGTCAGGAAAGGGAGAAAATAATCGCATACCTTTAATGGTGTGAGAGAAGCCAGAATAGAAGCTTGCACAGCTTCTGTGCAAGGAGCATGCGCCATTGGGCCTACTGTACTATCCTCCCTGGAGACTCCACCACCTGCCTTGGACTCATTTTTAATAACCAGTTTTCCTTTTGGGTTGTCTCTTAAAATGGACATGAGAGTCATGAGCTTCGTCATGAGTCCCATGGTCTTCATTTCTCAAACCATTTTATGTCCCTGGTGTTTTAGGATAGAGTCTATCTGTCAGGTCACATATATTTGATGCTATAGTTTGCAAAACACTGATACAAAATAGATCTCCTTTGTTTGCTCCATCGGCCTCTAAAATAGATATTGTCATGCTCATCTTAGGACAAGGCTCGTAGAGGTCTGTTTGAACTCTGGCAGATGCTAAGTGCTAGAACTAGAAATAAGTCACAAATTCTCCTAGAGGAGATATAGAGAATTAGCTTGAACAATATCTGTGGAATATTTTTATGGCAGCAGGATAAAAAGTGGACACAGTTTAAAATCCCAGGTCACGAAGTCACTATTTCAAAATTAAAAAATAGAAAAACAAAGTAAAGTAAGAAAAAAAATAAGTAAAAGTAAACTGAGATAAGTTAATAATCCACAAAAATGTTGAGTCTCATTTTCCCTGTGGGAGAGACAGCTGTCTAAGAGACATTATCTTTATATTTAGGGCAGGTGCCATGCGCACTTAGGACACACTTGTCTCATTAGAGGAAAATATAAGACCTGGAAAGATTGTCTTTAGAAGAGTCCAAGTTAGAATCATTCCCTTCTGCTCTGTTTGGTTTTTCAGCTCATTCTCTCTAGGTGTTTTAGGGTTTCTTATGTGTCATACATTCTTACCACACATATCACCATTTTATTGAATTAAGGAAATTTATGTTAGGAAAAAAAATCACAATTAGACATGAGAGAGGGTAGTTAAAAATCAGTGAAATAGAGCAGCTGATTGGAGGGAGATGTCATTCTTCCAGTTTCATCTGTCCTCATGTATACACATAGCCCGGATATGTGAGATGTGAATAACCATAACATTAAGAGGGGGTTCCCCCAGTATAGGCCCTTTGTGTCTCTGTATAGCTACCTTTTGTGGTTCTTCATTGTAGCTGGTGTACTTACACTTGTTTCTACTTTTATTTATGGAAGATGAATTGAATCACATTAGCTAACTCATTTAAGGAAAAAAAATACATGTAAGTAGAAATAACAAGTGGAGGAAAAAGTCCCACATGTGCAAACAGCTTTTGCCATTAATAAGACTTCTGAATTCATACAGTCACTTAAATTCTCTGGTTACTTGTTTTTTTGTATTTTTAAAAGAAGAGATTTTAAACTAAACTATGGAGCACAAATTCTAAATGCCTATTGTCATCAATAAAAAAGAGTTAAAGTAAGCAC